TGGGTTCTCTATTTTCTTTCATTGTTCAATATGTCTGTTTTTATACTAGTACCACACAGCTTTAACTATTGCTACTTTATAGTAAGTTTTGAAATCAGGGATTGTGAGTCTTCCAGCTTTGTTCTTTTTCAATGTTTCGCTATTTGGGGTATATTGAGATTTCATATAAATTTTAGTATGGGTTTTCTACTTCTGCAAAAAAAAAAAACCCTGCTAGGATTTTGATAGGGATTGGTTTGATACCACCAGCATCAGGCAACACCCTCTCCTCAGAGAATCAGGACGCAGCTAACAAATAAGAGTGCTGTAGGTAGTATTGACATCTTAATAATATATATCTTTCAATTCATGAACATAAAATGTACTTCTATTTGTCGTCTTTAATTTCAGCAATGTTTTGGAGTTTTCACTATATAAATCTTTCACCTTTTTGGTTAATTTCTAGATATTTATTATTTTTTATGCTATTGGAAATGGAATTGTTCATGTAATTTCATTTTCAGATTGTTCATTGTTAGTGTACAGAAATGCAACTGATTTTTGTGTTTTGACACTGTATCCTGCTACTTTGCTGAATTTATTAGTTCTAGCAGTTTTTTTGTGGAATCTTCAAAGTTTTCTGTATATAAGATCATATAATATGTGAACAGAGATCATTTTACTTCTTCCTTTCCAATTTCGATGCCTTTTCTTTCTTTTTCGGGCCTAAATTGATATGGCTAGATTTTTCAGTACAATTAGTGATAGCTTTAAAGAATTTTTGCAACTTCATAAATTCCCCATTGCTTGTTGTAAGACTTACTAGTAACTTGGATTTTGTTTTTCAGTCTTTGCAGTTTATCAAGCAATCTTAACTATTGAAGGCAGTGCCTTCTTATAGGTGTACATCTTTGTCAAAACTCTTTTTCCTTTAAAGTTAATTTACATAAATTACACCTAAGCAAAGCTGATTTAAAAAAAAAAAAAAAAAAAAAACTACTCTTGGGCCCTGACCGGTTTGGCTCAGTGGATAGAGCGTCAGCCTGCGGACTGAAGGGTCCCGGGTTCGATTCCAGTCAAGGGCATGTACCTTGGTTGCGGGCACATCCCCAGTGGGAGGTGTGCAGGAGGCAGCTGGTCGATGTTTCTCTCTCTCATCGATGTTGCTAACTCTCTATCCCTCTCCCTTCCTCTCTGTAAAAAATCAATAATATATATATTTTTTTAAAAACTACTCTTGGGAGAACTGACCTCAACACACACTACATAAAATTATAGTAGATGCTGCACCTCTGAATACAAGCTTACCACAATTACAAAATACTTGAGGAAATAATTTATCATGAGCAAGCGTTGGTTACAACAAATGGCAGGATTATAACCCTAAAAAATTTAGATAATTGAACAATATGACAGAGACTATAATTTAAATTTATTTTAAATTATTATAACATGAAATGAATTAAAAACAAAGATACCATAAAAAACAGGTAGATTTGAAAATGAACCAAAGAATATGTCTAAAAATAAAAATAAGAACTCAAAAAACAAATTAAATCTAGCTGAAGAGTAAATCAGCATGCAAAGATAAAGGTTATAGAAATAAAGAGATGAAAATTATGAAAGAGTAAGAGATGTGGAGGACAGAATAAGGAGGTTTAATGTAAGTTAAATATGAGAGGCACTATTTAAAGAGATAATGATGGGGAATTTTTACAAAACTGATGAAAGATATGAAAACTCAGGTTGAAGAATCACTATAAACTTCCAATAGGATAAAATTAAATCCACACCCTGTATTGAAACTACAGAACACAAATGACAAAAAAAAAAAAAAAAAAATTTTTTAAATAATCAGAAAGAAAGGCAAGTTACCTACAATGAAGTAATAAATTGTCAGCATAGTTTTCAAGAGTAAAAGCCAGAATTTCAGTGGAATAACATTTTCAAAGTGCTCAGAGAAAATAATTGGAAACCTAATACCCAGCTAAATTATCAATCAAGACTGAAGAGGAAGTAAAGATATATTCCAACAATGAGTGCTTATCACCAACAGACCCTCATCAAAGAAAACACATGAAGGTCATATCTATCTGTCTGACACAAAAGAAATAAATAACTCGCAACAAAGAGTGGTGAAAAAAATAAAATAAATGTAGCCCTAGCCAGTGTGGCTCAGTTGGTTGAGCATCATCCCATGCACCAAAAGGTCACCGGTTTGATTCCCAGGAAGGGCACATGCCCTGGGTTGAAGACTCGATCTCCAGTAGGGGGTGTGCAGGAGGCAGCCAATTGATGTCTGTTTCATCAATGTTTCTCTCTCTCCCTCTCCCTTTTTCTCTAAAAAAAAAAAAAAAATCAATAAAAACATTTAAAAAATAAAACCAGAAAAGAAGAAAAAAAGAGTAAATATATACTGGTAAAATGAATCACTGACAGCACAAAACAATAATTATTACTAATTAGAATTGTTCAACATTGGTGTTGACTGCCTTTGGGAACACCTAGTTTCATTTATGGAAGTGCTTATTTTTTATATAGATAATACCTTTTAATATTTTTCATGTACAGCAGGCAAGAGGCTGAAATAAATGACCCCTAAGATACCTACTGACCATAGATAGGGTTTTATCAATTAGACACAAAACATTCCCTCAGCAGCTCTGTTTGGCCATCTGAGGCAGGGCTTTGTCCCTATCCTAACAGTTCTAGAACTCCAGTCTTACTTCTTAGGCATTCTTCCCACTCCCATATTCCATAAATAAATAAAAACAAAAGACATTCTAAATAGAAATGTTTCTTATGTGAGCTTTGGGACAATATCTTTTAGTTTGGGGGGAGTGGAGCTTTTGGCTTTAGATTAAGATTCATCATTTGCTTCCACTTGGGCCTCCTAAGTAACGTGCCTCTTCCTCTACAAGAGGAAATAAATACCACGCTGGAACAGAAAAAGAGGGAACGCACTCTCATCCCTGCTGACTGAAAGCTCCTTGATGTGACCTGAACATTCCCTCCAGATTCCCATCTATTCACCACAGTACAGATCTCCACAATTCCCTTACCATCGAAGGTTTCTGCCCACACACACAGTTACACATTTGACAACCCATAACTTTGGCAACACAAGACTAGGCAACAGACACCAGAGAGCAAAGCATGCATTAAAGCAGTTAAATATTAAAACATTGTCAGAAAGCAGTTCCATTCCAGGCAAGAGGAGAGCATAATACAGAGGTCCAAACGGCACTGAATGAAGATGGAAAGGCCAGGCTCCTATCCCCTTTCGGCCCCAAAAAGCTCATTCATTTCAAAGTAAGTAATGACCATGCCAACGTTTCGTATCGCATAGGCATGAGGATACCAGGATAGAAGACACTACCTTAGCTGGGTATTAGGTTTCCAATTATTTTCTCTGAGCACTTTGAAAATGTTATTCCACTGAAATTCTGGCTTTTACTCTTGAAAACTATGCTGACAATTTATTACTTCATTGTAGGTAACTTGCCTTTCTTTCTGATTATTTAAAAGATTTTTTTTTTGTCATTTGTGTTCTGTAGTTTCAATACAGGGTGTGGATTTAATTTTATCCTATTGGAAGTTTATAGTGATTCTTCAACCTGAGTTTTCATATCTTTCATCAGTTTTGTAAAAATTCCCCATCATTATCTCTTTAAATAGTGCCTGTCACTACATGTTGACAGAAGGACAACATGCAGACACTCTGAGGACGGGGATGAACACTGCTGCCCCGGGGTGAAGTGAGAGGCGCCCAGAGGGCTCCTTCCCACCCACAGCCTTCACGCGGCCACTTTGCAGTCACAAATCTGCACTCTCCAACACGCTTCCACCAAACACCGTACCTGCCTTGACCCTTAAAACCACCCCAGGAAGTAGGAAACGCAGGTAAATTCGCTGTTTACATACATGAGAAGCGAGGCTTAAAATAAAGTGGCTGGTCCAAGACAACCTGCACCCCCACACAAGCCTCTTTCCTCCCCTCGCGTCCTCATTGAGGCCCAGCCCCCCAAACCCCGGCACAGCCCACCACGCACTAGCTAGGTAACCCTGGCCGAGTTAAACCTCCGATTTCCCCATCTGTAATCAACTATAAGGTTGTTAGGAATATTTCTTAAATGACCCATCTAAAGGGTGTGGCGCAGTGTCTGGCACGTAGTTGCTCAGAAATGTTTATCCCTACTACGTATTACTAATAACAATAGGCAAAAACTTCCCATTACAAGACCCCCCTCGTCACAAGCACTTCAGAAACCTGCATTTCCCCCCGCCCCCCACCTTCACCCACAAGATCGCCCTCAGACGTCATTTTACAGACACGCCCCCAAACAGGCCGCCCGGCACCTCCCCCGCCGACAGACACCCCTCCTCACAAACCTTACTCCGGAGAGATTCTCCTCCACCAGACTCCGTTACGAAAGAGGCCTTCTGCTCGCACCC